TGCAGCTAACATGCCCTCAGGAGGACTTTGTGAGGGAAGATTCAGTTACACTGGTGTTACTTCAGATGTTTCAGCGTCTTAAACCCAGCCTCCAGCTGCCGCGCCAGAAGGGAGTGGGTCTCTGCATAGATCCTGCGTCGTATCTGTCAGGCTCAAGAGAGGACAGATCTTGTGCCTGATCATCCAGGCCCATGTGGATGTCTTGGAAAATAAATGGCATCTTAGATAGCAGGCGAAGCGGGTGTTTAGGCAGCTGTCTGCCATCCTGCGTGTTTGAGCACCCAGTGACTTAGCCCTCAGGCTGCTGAAGGGGACAGCCGGGGAACGCGCTGCTCTTCCTGAGAGTGCTCTTTCAGCCCCTGGAGCCCTTGCCAAAGAGCACCATCTGCATCCCCATTTTTGGACGTTTCTTGTCTCAGTTCCAATATTCTCTCGGACACCAGTGCCCAGTGTCCTAGGGAGCTGGCCGAAAGCCATTACAACAGCCACATGCCCTGAGTAGGATGAAGAGGATACAAGGAAATGCTGGTACCTTTCTCTTCGCTTGAACTTGCATTACTCTGTTTACACCGTTTTCTTACCTTGAGACAGTCTGGAATCTTCCTAAGTGGTACGGCTTTCTGCAAATCAACCAAAACCAAACAGATCTTTTAATGAAGGTCAAGTAGCAGGAAAAAGAGAAATTTCCGAAACATCTTTTCTTAATGGAAAGCATATCAGAGGAGACTAGAAGGGCATTTGTCAGGGGAACTTTGAAATTTAAGTATGGATACATGCAGCACTGCAGTGGCAGGAGGCAAGACTTTGTGGGGGGAAGGCATTAGCCAGTAGCTCTGTTTCATAAACATAGAACTTTCTTATTTTCAAGGCTGTTTGAAAGGAAGGAAAGTTAAACACTTCCCAGAATAAAAGTGGAGTTCTCATTTTATTTTCACTTTTCATCCAATAAAGGATGACTATTATCTTATGCTTTTCCAGTCATGTCGGTTGTCATAACTACCTAGAATCAATTTATTGGATTTTTGTTTTCAAACAATGTCTTTAACTGTGTTATAGGCAATAACTATTTAAAAACAAAACCATATATGCATCTAAAGTAAATGTCCAGCCAAATGGAAGGTGCTCCTTCAGTAACAATGAGCTCATAAATGTAAATACTTTCCAACTGTTGCTTCCTTTTTCCTTGTCAGTAGCTCTGAGAGCTGATACTGCTCTTCATACAAGCTGTTGCCAAATTGCATGGCTCTGATGACATGTGAGGACATTTTCAGAAATGTGTAGCACTGAAGAGAATTTTTTCAGCTAGGTAAATAATTATTAAGTTGTTTAAAAGTCAGTGATATCACAGCATGGTTGTGTCTCATATTCCAGAAATTTAACTTTTGCAGAGCAGTTGCAAGGAGGAGATAAGGAATAACTGAAATGTGCAACTTTTCCTCATCATTTTTAGTAATTGTCATTTATATTGTCACAGAAGATGACCTATTTTTTGCTGTCGGGTTTGGTCTGTTCTATAGTTTGGAAAAAGAAAAGGTTGAATCGGTTTAAAATACTTCTCAGGAAATTGCTATTGGAAAATGTAATCTTTCTACAGCTTACCCTTCAGCTTCAGTTATAATAAGATTTAGGTTTTATATATACGTCTATATATAGGAGGTTCATTTGTTTCTGCTATTGCACCACAAATTCTGAAGATTAGACTTCTTACTCTATAATCCGGCTAGGCTGTGCATAAGAGGAAACTCTGGTATCAAGATAATGGACTTTCTGTAAAAATCTATCTAGAACAGACATCGTGTCAGCATTGCCATTGATCAAGCAACTGGCACTTTTTCCCTTTGAGCTCTGACTTGACACGTAAGTCAAGCAAAAGAAGTGGCTTACTGAAATGTCACTGCTCTTTCTCCAGTCTAGAGGTAGCAGAATAATTCACCATTCACATGCTGTTTTGTTTTGTTCTAGACTCGTAAGTCCTAATGTATTCCAGTATTCTGTAGTTCCACTCTTAAGAGGCTATCATTGATCTTATATTAATATATTTGTAGATGTGGTGAGGCTTCGTGTAGTTGTAGGTGCCACACGAACTCAGAATAAGATATTAATTGACTCCTGGAGAGTTTTAAAGACAATCCATACGAAGCAAGAGCGAAATGAACCCATGCTGGATAGTAAGAAGATAACAAGGATTATCAATGTGCACCGGTTTTTATAAGACATAAATCCCTGTCCTACTTCTTTTCCTTATTTTTTATCTTCAGAAATACTTAAGAACAGCTGTATGTTGGCTAATAGTGCTAGGTTTTCTCTTGGTGTTTGCAAAGAGGTGTTTTTTCTGACTAATTTTTTTCAGGCTTTGATTTCACAGTGCTTTCTGATGGTTAATTAAGAAGTGCCATACTTAATGTGATTTCCCTGTGATTACAGCCCTGTTCTGAAAGGTAGAAATTTCTGTGTCTGTATGAGGATTTATATAGCAATGACAACATGCATGTTGGGACAGTTTTCTGTACTCTGATTACAGAAGTGAGTTTTTAATAGGTGAATTCTCTTCAGTTGGACAAGATGCTGTGGGAAGAATGCAATGGAAAATGTCCTGTGTTTGCGTTTTATCAAAAGATATGAAGAACACTGCCCAGCTGAAGAAATTCAAGAAGTAGATTGTTTACCATTCTTATCTCATGATCTGAAAATAATATTTGAAAGATCACAGTATGTTATAATTCTATACTGTCAAGGAATCTTGCATTGTCAAACATTCCTCAGATTGTAATCTCATCAACCAAATGCAAGTTTTTCATATTATCCTACGAAATAGGCAGCTGGCAATTCATGATGTGTCTGTCACTTACAGAGGCACTAAAAGGAATTGAGTTTATGTGGTTTGTTATTAGAGAGCGTGAAGCTGAGCCTGAATCCTCTAAGGTGTTTAGCTGTCTAATTCCCACTGATTTTAATGCAAATCGAGTACATATACGTCCCCTGGGAATCCTTGTCATTGTCTCCAGGCTTCTTGATTGCCTGTCTTCCTGAAATACGTAAGTGCTGTATTATGGATGATCATTTCTTCCAACAGACAAAGTTCAGAAAAAGAAGGTCATGGTTATGGTTGTGAAAGTCCTAACATCTCCTGAGGCAAATTATAGCTTACTGCTGAAGTGTTCTACAAATCTGCTGCTTGTAGCTATTGAATTTTCCTTTTTTCTTTTCTAGCCGTTTCATCCCATGGTGAATTTGGAATGCTCCAGAGATTTTCGACCATTTCTGTGTGCCCTCTACGCTCCTGTGTGCATGGAGTACGGCCGGGTCACTCTCCCTTGTCGCAGGCTCTGTCAAAGAGCGTACAGCGAGTGCTCCAAACTCATGGAGATGTTTGGGGTCTCTTGGCCTGAGGATATGGAGTGCACTAGGTGAGCAAATCTGCTGTTTTTTTTTTTTTTTTCAGAATCCCAGGATAAAATTTTAGTATGATGTAGGATGTTTTATGACCTGAAACAGACGTTTTGAATGTGTTCCATTGCAAGTGCCCTTATTTTCCCTTCCATTTGTGTAACAGCCAGTTTCCTGGGCTGGAAACTAAGTTCATATTTCCATCATCTGCCCAAGAGATAAGTTGAAAATTTCTGTGGGCAATTACTGTAAACTGCACATGCACTTTCCTAAATTAATGAATAGACCTGTTGGTCTTTCTTCTTTGTCATTTATGCTGACCTGGTTTTGTCTGCTGTACTGGAGTTCAATAGGTGATACTGCCATAAATTTCTCCGAGAGTTAGGAAAAATGACATACACTAGAGATGAATAGTCTCTTTTTCTGAAGGGGGAGCTGGCTGGTTTTGATTAGTGTATAAAATCTCAAAGCTCTGTTTGCAGAGCATCTATGTCTTGTTGAACTTGTGTGCAAACAGATGTTTTCAGCTTCACATTACACAAATAACTTTATAGAAAATTATTTGATGATGTTTAAATCTATTTGAAACAGAATATACATTAAATTTAAAACAATATCTCTATGCTTTGGGGTTTTTTTGTGACTCCAACAGCCAGGAGAACAAACACGAAGATATAGTCTCTCTTACAGTAGGATTGGAGAGAATGAAAACCAAGTAACACTTCTTTTAGCAAAAGAATAAGTCAGAGGATGCTTTTAGGTCCTGATAATCTGGACCAAAGATTGCTTTAACTCTGTATCCTAAACAGATGCCTCAGCCCTTTACATCCTCCCATCTCCTCAGTAAGACCCAGGCAGTGAAATTTCAGAACCAGAGCTGAAACTACTGAAACCTCGCTGGTGCTGTGTTAGTGCCATTGTGCCAGGACATGAACTGTGGCAGAGAAACGCTTACTGAGGTGATAAAGCCCCAATGGGCCCCTTGTCCATTTCTTTCTCTGGTTTATTTTGAAACATATTTTATCCTTTCAACATCCACTGAATTCTGGGACAATGAGTTCTAGAGTTTGTTTAAACATAGTGTAGTATTTCATGGATTACCCATTATTTGGCTTGTCTTTGTTTTCGCTCCAGTTAGCGTGTCTAAAGTCTAACCACATAAATAAGGTTATTAGCCTTTGCAAAGTAGGTGTATATTTCTTGTAAATAATTCTTTTCTTACTTTTTAGATTCCCAGATTGTGATGAGCCATATCCTCGTCTTGTTGACCTCAATCTAGCTGGGGAGCCCACAGAAGAGGCCCCGATGGCAGTACAGAGGGATTATGGTTTTTGGTGTCCTCGGGAGCTGAAAATAGACCCTGATCTGGGTTACTCTTTCCTGAGGGTACGGGACTGTTCCCCTCCTTGCCCAAATATGTATTTTCGGCGTGAAGAGCTCTCCTTTGCTCGCTACTTCATCGGAGTGATCTCCATCGTCTGCCTTTCCGCTACCTTGTTTACTTTTTTAACTTTTCTGATCGATGTCACAAGATTTCGCTATCCAGAAAGACCGATAATATTTTACGCTGTCTGTTACATGATGGTGTCATTAATTTTCTTCATTGGCTTTCTGCTTGAAGACCGAGTAGCGTGTAATGCATCTAGCCCTGCCCAGTACAAGGCTTCCACAGTGACCCAGGGCTCTCACAACAAAGCCTGCACCATGCTTTTCATGGTGCTCTATTTCTTTACCATGGCTGGCAGTGTTTGGTGGGTCATTCTTACCATCACGTGGTTCTTGGCGGCTGTGCCAAAATGGGGCAGTGAAGCCATCGAGAAGAAGGCATTGCTCTTCCACGCCAGTGCCTGGGGCATTCCAGGAACTCTAACCATCATCCTCTTAGCAATGAATAAAATTGAAGGTGACAATATTAGCGGCGTATGTTTTGTTGGCCTCTATGATGTGGATGCATTAAGATACTTTGTGCTTGCACCTCTCTGCCTGTATGTTGTTGTCGGCGTTTCCCTTCTGCTAGCTGGCATTATCTCTCTCAATCGGGTTCGCATTGAAATCCCGTTAGAAAAAGAGAACCAGGACAAACTAGTGAAGTTCATGATCCGGATTGGCGTGTTCAGTGTTCTGTACCTCGTGCCCCTGTTGGTTGTAATTGGCTGCTATTTCTATGAGCAGGCTTATCGAGGTGTGTGGGAGACGACGTGGATTCAAGAACGCTGCAGAGAATATCACATCCCGTGTCCCTACCAGGTGAGGAAACCAATATGACGTATTCAGGAGTGCAGAAAATGGATAATGAGGGGATATGTTAAGGCTAACTTGTCATCCCTAACTGAAAGTGCTGCTGTTCCTACAAGGGAAGGTTTGTGCTATACTCAAATTATTTGGATAATGCATTAGGCCTTCTGGAAGACTAGGTATTACTGGAAAATTGGAGGCTTGCGTCAGCTGCATGGTGTTTTTTGTGGAGTTTCTGGGCTGTATGGGACCCATACAGGATATAAAGGTGCTATCTTAAACCAACTTCAAGAACAGGACTTAATGAGTTTATTTTTGGTCATTAGAGACATGTTCAAAGTTTAGCTCTGAAGGAATTTTGGCATTGAAACTTGAGTTGTCATCAGCCTGATTACTGCATTTTTCTGGTTTTAGTTGTTCATCTCTAACAGTTTTGTTGCCTTGATTAGCCTCGAGGTTCTGTGCTCATTTTAGAGCAGTCTATGCACGTGTCAGAAATGTCTATATCAAATCTTACTTGAAGTGTCTTCTGAAGAGAACCAGAGCTTACAGCTCATCAGTTTTGTTATTTCAAGAAAAATTACACTTACCTGCTCAATTTGTTTAATTGAGTTATCACAGGAACAGAGGCCTCTAAGAGCACTAGATATCAAACTGTCCCCTGTTTCCTTCAGTATTACGCTGGTGCGGTTGCAAAGAAAGTATTGTAAGTATTAATGACTTGAAGCCTCCTTTCCTTTTGGAGCCAAAGTGGCAAATTGTTTTTGGAATGATATTTCATAGATGTTTTCTGAAACTTATTTCAATAAGGTTGTACAACAAGTATCTATTATATATATTTATTATATAGCTACACACATAGGGGTATAAAAATAAGTTAATATTTTGACTCTAAAGTGGTTAAAACACCATCTGGATCATCAAATCTCACACTGTAATGCAATAACATATCACTTAAAGGGTTGGCTTAGTCTATATAGCTTGATAATAATCCTTTTATTTCCTTTTAACCCTTTTAATTGTTTTCTCTGTTAGATGTTATTAGGGTGCGACTCTTCCCTCCCATCCAGTGTGTGAGCATTTTTATGGCAGGAAATATCTGTCAGTGGGTGTGTTTGGTTTCATTTGCTTGATTGACTCTTCATTGCTGCAGGTTTTAATATGTTAAAATGACTGATGCTTAAAACGAGAGAAAAAGAGGGACGTGCATTTTTCTCTCAGTTAATCTTAAATAACCACCATATGCCAATCTAAACTGTGTCTAATAATCTCTAAAATTAAAGGGATATTGCTTTCTCAGAATGTTGAACAAAGGCTTTTTTAAACCTTGCAACTTCTGATGTCTAAGTATGAAAATCCCAGCTAGTGGAATAACGGAAACATGTAGTCAAATGGTTCTCAAATCTCTAGAAAACCGTTAACATAATGGCTCAGCAGGAGTCAAAAGAACAATAATGGTTTCATTCACATCAAATTGGGTTGAAGGACCTGCAGACCCTAGGGAGTGTTAGGAGGGTTTTTCTTCTAACCCATCCAATTTTTTTTCGTAAACTAAACATGCTTCCCTAATTAAACTATCCAGACTTATAATTGAAACAGATTTCCAAAGCTGTGGGGAAAAATAATTTTGTGCTAGATCATACTAGTAAAATATGTTATTAAATTAGGGGAAAATTTAAAGTTATGTGGAAAGTATCACTCACTTGCAAAATAAGACCTTTTTTTTAAGTCTTGATGTTATTTAACTTTACTACAAATATTTAAATATCAGTGTCTGAGATTAGACTATCCAAATCTGAGAGCTGTAGTTGATTCCACAGTGGACTTAGGTTTGATGTGCAAAACTTACACAGGGTTGCGGTAGCTGGAATTTGCTGCTTGCATAGGCACACTTTTTCCAACACCAGCAAATCTGAGGTTAAAAATTCATTAGTCCGTTCAACCGTTACATCATCTTTTTCATCAGAGGATGATGCCACAGTAACTCATTCTGGAAAATTGCTAGTGGAGTTGGAGTATACAGCTGCTATAGGCACGCCTCCTTGCCTCCCTTCTGTGTGGCTGCTTCATGCAGGAGATAATGCGGGGTTAATAATTTGCTGCAGATTCTCCTGGCTGCTGCTAAACTGAGCCTGGGCAGCTGGTGTTCAAATGAAGAATAGACATCATGTTTCCCTGACTGCCTAAAGGGCTGAATACTCCCTGGAAGACCCCAAAACGAGAGGAAGCAATGAGATACCTTTATGCTTCGATCTTGATTTCTGTCTATCTGGATGTTCCCTGGGTTGACCCAGCTCCATGTCATTATGGTTATTTGTCACATCTGAGAAGCATCTGTTGCTTTCCTTGGGAAATGAAAACTTCTTTTTGCCATGAAGACAGGAAATCAATAATCCCAGTATTCCCCCTCTTTGAGGAGTAAGTACAGGGCAAGAAGGAGCCAACAGCACAGAAAACAGGCAGCAGTTGCCCCTCTCGTACCATGGCTGGGAGGGCTCAGATGAGCTCTCAGATGAGCCATCAAAAGTTGAGTGGCATGAATATTGCTTCCTTGTCTCCTTTAGTAAGGAAAAACCAACTACTGCATCGAGAGATTAGGTTTATTTACAGTGTATACATGTATCTAATATGGTTAAGAAATTTAGTTGCACTTTCCCCACTACGGGGGAAATGCATTGGTTTTGTGCGTGTCAACTTAAACAGGCGTTGTGTTTTGTATCAGCCTGGATAAATCTCTTAATTTAGTTAAAAATATCGAGGTTTCGATACTAAAGCATCCTTCTTGCAATGTGAGTAAAGGCAAATTGACTAAGGTGTTACCACAAATAATTATTTTAATGGTTTCTGATGCTAGGACTATTCACGGGAATTGCAGTGATCTAATCTGTTTCCAGCCAGTATTACTCCTCTGTGAAATACCTGCTCACAGCAACATCAAAATGTTTTAACCCATCCACCTCCATTTTCACCACAGTTGGGACTTTTTTTTTTTTTTTGGAGAGGGAAACAGTGCCTTTGTAATCTACTTTCGGGACAGTAATATTCAAATGAGGAGCTGAATTTTGTGTTGATATCCCACTTTTCACTCGTTGCCTTAAAAAAAGGAATTTTGCTTGGCCTCAAAAAATGGATTAATGTCTTTGTGCAAGCAGAGTTCGTGCAGTGGAAAATTAAATTAATTTTTACTAGCTGTAAAACCTGGTACTCCCATCATACCAGCACCTGGTAACCCCCATACCTGTTTCAGCTGGGCTGTGTGCATTACGTGTTCTTCAGGTCAGACTTTCATCTCCTATATAATCTTTTTTTATGAGAGTACAGCACAATTTTCATCAAGGTAAAATGCAGAAATTAAGGGGGAAAAGCAAGGAAACGTGACAACCCAGTCATAAAATAATCACATCTAGTCATCTCTTTTGCTGTGTTTGGAAATACACGCTTTTCTGCTCCTCCTGCTTCTCTTTGTGACGATGGTGGTTCTACCAATATCAAATCGTCATTCAGAGCGTAGGGCTTCAGAGCAGAGAGTTGGATTGTTGTAACATTGGGCTCAAGGAAAGACATTTGGGGAAGTAAGCTTGTGCATACTCCTGATGCTGTTCAGAGTGGCTATCATCATCTCTTTAATGATTGTACCATTCTTAACAGGTTCTTGGCACTGGTTTGGCTTTTTATCTGCAGTCCTGACCCAATGGTTAGCTTTTGAAATTTGTTTCTTTCGTCTCTTTGCAATTTTTACCTTGTGTGTTGATGGAGCATGTCGTGCTACAGTAACTAATTTAGACAAGGGGGTGGACTGGGATAAAATTTTTGGCCGGTCACTTTACAGAAGCACAGAATCACTCAGGTTGAAGTGACCTGTGGAAATCATCTCGTGCAACCCCGCTGCTCAAGCAGGGTCAGCCCAGGACTGTGTTGGGTTGGGGTTTGAATTCCTGTGACCATAACAGCTAGAAGTTCCTTTCTGTCAGACATCTGATCTCAGATACATCTGTTGTAAAGTAAAAAGTAGGGTAAAAGGGAAAAAAACAAGTCTGAAGTGAATTTGGGTGCTGTTACATATTCTTACCCTCCAGGCACACAAGGAGAACATCAGAGATTTGTTCCTCTTGGAAATTACAAAGGCAATCAAACTGGGACACATTGACCTGCCCCAGACTATGAAAATATGTCTCAAAACTGGGATGAATTTGTCTACAAAGTGACATAGATCCTCAGCAAAGTCTGTCTCCAAAGTTGGTTGTAATGTTTCTCTTAGGAAAAGTTCAGTCAATACAGTTTTTCTAGCCCAGAGAAACGGAAAGGGCTGCATCAAGCCAGAACCATCCGAAGATGGAAGAAAGTGGTAACTGTCATCTTCCTAAGATAAGAAAATGTGTCGGCTTTTTTGGAATGGCAGAGTATGGTGTTAAAGCTTTTACTTCTTGTATTAGTCCCATAATTGAACTATGTAAGGTAGTTTCTGCAAAGTAAAGAAGGTCCTGGGTTGAGATTTCTCTTAAATCCAAATGTAAATAGACTCTCTCCAGTTTTCACAAATGCTTCAGGCCTAGGCTAGGCCCTGTGCTGGTGGGAGAGAGATCTAATTTGGATATTAAAGAGTGAAAAAGAAAAAGAAACTATTTCAAAGACATTTGCTGCCCTAGTGGGAGTCCTTGAGAAATTAAACTAAGCAGTATGAATTATCTTTGCTTATTATCTGATATTCATCATTTCCCCACTCCTGTGGCTTCACCAGATTAAAAGACCTTCGTGCTGACTTGCTAAGAGTGAAGGTGGTGCTCCCTGCTTATCTTTTCGATATTGTTTAGAGGAATGGAAGCAGATGTGAGTAGGACGTTTGGTTTCCTGTTGATGGGAAAGACTTGATAGCAGGGTGAGTTTAGAGCAAATTGCAAACTCTGGTTTTGTGGAAACTCCCTTTGTCCTTTCATTAGGAACTCAGGTTTGTGCTGGACGCTGAATATCCAGCCAGTCTTGCTCAGTCATTGCTGTAGTGTACTCCGGGTGGA